TTGAGCACAGAAGCAAAGTGGCAGCCATTTTGTCTCACCACAGAGTCAGGGTTGCTGGGTCTGGTAATTTCCTGGCAATCTGGCATGCTGCCTGCCAGCGCCTAACCACAGAGATTTTATGAATCCTAGAATATCCCACCTTGACATAATTACCTCACTTCCGGTTTTTGCCAGAAGTGACATCAATGCCACCCAAATGCTCCTGGGGTTGTAGGATTGCAGCCTGGTAACCCTATGGACAGTACTAAACAAACAAGGGAAATAATAAAAACCCATTTTCTCCACCCACCCACGGCTCATTGCATGCAGGAGTCTCTTGCTGCCAAGTCACCCCTGCCCACCAGCAGTTCTCCCATACATGGGAAGACCGCACATACCTAATGTCAGAACGTTTTCCAGTTCCTCAGCAGTCCCCCTGATGAAGACATCAGTAATGTCACCAACAGGCTCTGGACTCATTCATCTTCTTTTGTTGCCTTATTTCTACATGCCCATTCTTCCCGCCTCCGCACACACAACTCTTCCTTTTTCTGGCAGGAAGAACAAAACTGCTGGAAGGCAAAGGTGTGTATGAATTTTTTCGTGTCATTTCTGGATTTTGTGAAGAAGGTGGTGACCACGGATGATCCAAAGTGAGTAGGGGTTAGGGTTGCCAGGTCGCCCCCCCCCCCCAGCCACCAGCAGAGTGTGTGTGTGGGAGGGGTTAGGGTTGTCAGCTCCAGGTTGGAAAACTCCTGGAGATTTGGGGGTGGAACCTGGGGAGGACAGGGACCTCAGTGGGGTACAATGCCATAGATTCTGCCCTCCGAAGTATCCCTTTTCTACAGGGGAACTGATCTCTGTAGTCTGGAGGTGAGCTGTGATTCTGGACGATCCGCAGGTCCCACCTGGAGGCTGGAATCCCCAGTAGAAATGGGAATCCTTGCTCCCAGAATCTGGCCCCACCCTTTTCCTTCCAGTCAACTTTAAATCTCTGCATCCTGCTTTCAGGTTGGTTCATCTCTTTGAGTGGGAGCCAGAGGGCCCTGTTTCCTACACCGTGCATCGGGACTCTGAATATACTTTCCTGCCTGAATGGTACGTTAAGGCTATAAAACGCGGACAATCCGTCACTTCTGTGTATCCTTGACTGATGAGCTAGAGACAGAGGGGGTCCGCCTCCCTTCCCCTGGATTTCACCATGACAGCTAACCTTTTCAATGGACTGAATCACATAGAAAAACCTAGTGACATTCGTTGTACCCGTGAACCTGCCCTTAGTCCATCGAGGTCAGTGTTGCCTACTCGGACTGGCAGCAGCTCTCCAGGGCTTCAGATGGAGGTCTCCCATGTCACCTCCCACCTGGAGATGCTGGGGATTGAATCTGGGACCTTCTGTGGGCCAAGCAGGTGCTCTGTCATTGTCACTGGACCCTTCCCGAAGCCATGCTGAGACCATCCTTGGAGAAAGGTGGAAATTAAAAAATGCCTTAAATAAAGGACAGCTCGATTTGAATCCAGGAGTATCTGAGAGACTGACAAGATTTGGAGAGTAGACAAGATCTGCAAGTCGAAGCTCCCTTCATCATTTACCTTTGTCAGGTATCTGACGAAAGGGGCTCTGACTCTCGAAAGCGCATACCCCCCAAAATCTTGCTGGTCTCTTAAGGTGTTCTGGATTCAAATCTAGCTGTTCCACTGCAGACCAACACGGCAACCCTCTGAAACTGTGTTTAATCTAAAGTTATTTACAGCAGTGCCAGTCCAAAAGTGAGATCCAAAAGGCCATGTACACAATCGATGTCCCACCTTTTATTACCCAATGACATATAACAGCTTTGGGGTCCCCTAGAACTCTTAATCAGGCCAGATGTCACAAACTAAAAGAGAACAAGGGCAGATTTTTCAGGTCCTTAATAATTGACAAGATAGTCCTTGCAGTGCCTTAAATGTATCTCCTGAGGATACAGCGACTTTCAGGTGCTTTCTGTTATCTGGGAAGAGACTGAAGCCTCACTGGTGAAGGAAGGTAGATTCAGGTGGGGTAGCCATGTTGGTCTAGGGCAGCAGAACAAAGTCCCGTGGCACCTTTAAGACCAACAGAATAAAACTTCGCTGATCTTAAAGGTGACAGTGGACCCGAGCTTTGTTCTGGTGAAGGAGGAGATTGGAAACACTGGGAGGAATTGTTGCTATCGGATTTTATTGTTTTATTGCCCTTTGCTTTTATGGCCCCTGGAACAGCCTTAAAGCTCCTTTGTCTGCCAGAAGTTCTACCCTATCTTGGTACAAGAGGGTCTTAAGATAATGATGACCTGACAAATCTGCTTTTCCGCCCACTTTTACTTTGTAACATCTGGCCAGATGAAGAGCTCTGGGGAACTTGAAAGCTTGCACACTGTCCATGTGTCATTGGGTCTATCTCAATAAGAAGAAGAAGAAGAAGAGATTGGATTTATACCTCGCCCTTCACTACCCAAAGGTGTCACAGAGCGGCTTACAAAGTCCTTTCCCTTCCCCTCCCCACAACAGACACCCTGTGAGGTGGGTGGGGCTGAGAGAACTCTTGACATAAACTGTTATTTTTTTCAAGAACAGCTCTTATCAGAACCACGGCTTGCCCAAGGTCATCCAGCCAGGTGCAAGTGGAGGAGTGGGGAATCAAACCCGGTTCTCCCAGATTAGAGTCCAGGCACTTAACCATTACACCAAACTGGCTCCCTGTGTTCTTGGTTTTTAAAATAACTTCAAATAAAATCAAATAAAATCCAACCATTAATGGCATACAGAATAAACACAAATTGTATTGTTGTTGGAATAAGAGATAGAGTTAAAATTTAAATATAACAGCAAATCATCACTGTATCTTATCTTGACGAAGCTTTATGGCACACTGAAGAAACAAAGCAGCCTTCTGTTATGCCAGGAAAAGCATCATTCAAAATACATTGGATTTTGATGTGGTCAGACAGTCCCGTCTTATTTTCAAGAATAGGGTCAAGATACTTAAAACAAATGTTTACATTAAAAGGACAAAAAAAAGGATATGCAAAATGTTTTTTTAAAAATAAAGTGTTCCCCTGCCTCAAAGGAAAAAAAAAAATCAGCAATGAGATGAAATGTGAGTTTGCCAGTATACAACTAAGCATATTGGTCAATTGAGCTTAACTGCATGTTAAGATGATCTTCCTCAGACGCCCGTCTTGCCTGTTCCGATCATCAGAAGTTCCCACAGTGGCCCCGAGAGAACAGAACTGAACTTCCTCCCCAAGGACACTTCCCTGATGGCTGTTAGAAATACCAGGTCAAAGCTCTGCTCTTTTCAGAAGACCTTTAGGGGTTGTTTTTACTGGCTGATTTATTACTATTTTGCTTTTATGTTGCTGCCTGTTGTTTTTCTGACTGATGACTATTTACTGATGTTCTTCTGCTGAGGTTTCTCTTGTGGTTTTTTATGCAGATCAGCTGGTTGTCATGGTTACCCTCCATTCTGTTAGCATCTCTGTGAACAGTAAAGGTGGTATAGAAATATTTTCAAGTTCACTGGGCTGCCCATATACATGCTTTCCCCGTTGTGGCTCTCGCCTTATGGAATGGCCTGACTGAGGAGGTCAGGAAAGATCCCCCTGATCCCACCTTCCACAAACTACGCAAAACTGAACTGTTCAAAAAGGCCTTTTCTGTGCAGGTAATAAGGCTGCACAGCACAAAATGGTTTCACAGACTCACCTGGATAAATGATTGGGATTTGTGGTCTTTTCTGCTCTATATAGCATTTTGCTAAGTAGGATCCTGTTATGCAATTTCTGTACCACTTAACGTGTCACGTTAATACTTATGCTATGTGTTATGTATTTAGGGTTGCCAGCCTCCAGGTGGGGCCTGGGGATCTCCCGCTTTTACAGAGATCAGCTCCCCTGGAGAAAATGGCTGCTTTGAAGGGTGGAGTCTATGGCATTGTGCCATGCTGCCGCCCTCTCCTGGATCCACCCCCAAAGACTCCAGGTATTTTCCAACCCAGACCTGGCAACCCTATATGTATTTGCTTATGTGCTCTGCTGTGTAACCTACACCGGAGCTTCTGGCACAAGCTCCATTGACTCTTAGGTATTCTAAACCCTGTAGTCGGATTGGTCACTGTTGCGTAACAGATCAATCCGGAAAGACTCTGAACTTTGGCGGGAATTAATCCCATTGGTTCTAAACTCTCAATTGTAATTGGTCATTACTGTGCTAGGGAGTGCTGGGCTCTTTACTGCCGGAGCTCTGCTCCTGTGCGCTCCTGCAGGAAATGACCCCTGGGTGACACACCCCTAATGTAGCCAAACCTCCAAGAGCTTACAGTAGCCCCTGTAAGAAAAGCTCTGTAAGCTCTTGGAGGATTGGCTACATTAGGGGTGTGTCACCTAATATGCAAAGGAGTTCCTGCTACAAAAAGAGCCCACTCAGTGGAGAGCGATCAGACGGGGGTGTGTGTGTGTGTAAAGCGATTACAACCGTTGCAACCAGGATACCACCACTTGGGGACCTAGTGGCAGAATACAACTGTTTAAAGCTCTTTGCGACGGTTAGGGACGGAAGGCAGATGTTCGCCGTGTGAACGCCGGTAAGTACACCGATTCCAACCGGCACCTATACCGTTGCAAACGCCCTGTCTGAACGCACCCACTACTGTGCTATGGGGTGTGGTTTTCCCTGGTTCAAAATGTATAAAGTTGCATCGTTCTTGAGTGTTGTTGCTGTGTTGCTGTGTTCTGAGCTGAATAAAGAAATCACTTGTGGAAACGCTGCCTCAGTCTCAGTATATAACTCAATGCTACTTAATATGCTATGCTCTTGTTCTTTCTGATGGCTGCAGTGTTCTAATAATCTAATGCATTAGTTCTTGAATGTTCCATTTTGTTGATTGTACTGACTCACTCTGTGTCATCTGCCTTGAGGCCATGTGAGAAAGGCGGGCTATAAATGATGTGCATCCTGCATGTATGTGTATATATCTGTTTGTAAGAAAGAGCCAATGTGCATTCAATTAACAAATGAAACTGGGGGCCAGTATCTGGAAAAATACAGTGTGGGCTGTTTCCAAACAAATTCTTTACCCCTCTGAATAAAGCTGACCAGGGCTCCTATCCAGAGACAATCCATTTAGATCTTGCTGCTGCTGCAAATACACAATCGTTCGTTTGCCTTGGCACTGGAACATCTATATAAAATTTGTTTGCCATGCTTTCCTTGCCTCAGCTGCCACAATTACTGTTTCATCCACCACATTGGAGGGCTTTTTTTGTTTTGTTTTAAAATAGGGGATGGCTAGATCACCATAATACTGTCATATTTTATTGCAACAATGCACTAGTTCTCAGCTTTCATTTTTTAAAAAGAAAGTTGTGACCTTTTTGTTATGGAGTTAAAAGGGGAAAGGTGCCACTTGTACATATTCTGTTTTAACTCCACAAGGAAAGGAGCTACAGACTTACTTTAAAGAAATGGAAACAGAGAACTAGCATATTGTTGTAATGGAATGTTATGATGCTATAGGGATCAAGCTATTTCTGTTTTAAAACAAAAGGACTGAAAACATCCTCTGGTGGCAGGAGAGGAATGGCAGCCGTAAGGGCTGAGATTTAGTTTGTTTTTTATTTATACTCCACCTTTCTCCCCAATGAGGACCCAAAATAACTTGTGTCATTCCCCTGTCCTCCATTTTATCTTCACAATAGCCCTGTAAGGTAGGTTAGGCTGATAGTAGGTGAGTGGGCCATAGGGTTGCCAGGTCTGGATTGGAAAATACCTGGAGACATTGGGGGTGGATCCAGGAGAGGGCAGAGTTTGGGGAGGGGAGGGGCCTCAGTATGGTACAATGACATAGAGCCCACCCTTCAAAGCAGCCATTCTCTCCAGGGGAGCTGATCTCTTGTCAGCTGGGGATGAGTTGTAAAAGCCGGAGATCTCCAGGCCCCACCTGGAGGCTGGCCATCCTAGTGGGCCAAGGTCAGCCAGCAAGCTTTCACAGCAGAATAGGGATCTGAACCTGGGTCTCCCAGACCCTAAGACAAATACGTGAGATCCAGACAGGGCTTTTTTTTTGGGGGGGGGGCGAGGTGCCAGAACTCTCAAGAGGGAAATTAAGTTTTTAATCTGTACACTGAAAACTCATGAACTTTTAAACGTTTTTAAAAGAATTCTGTCGAAGAGGTTCTGGAACTCTGTTCTGGCAGATTCCTCCAGAAACAAAGCCCTAGAACAATCAAACAATCAAATAAAGCCTGAACTCTCCCTAGAAGCTAAAAGGACTAAGCCAAGGCTATCGTACTTCAGTCACATTATGAGAAGACGAGTCACTGGAAAAGACAATGATGCTAAGAAAAGGTGAAGGCAGCAGGAAAAGAGGAAGACCAACCATGAGATGGATTGACTCAATCAAGACCTGAATTTGCAAGACCTGAGCATAGCTGTCAATGATAGGACATTTTGGAGGACATTAATTCATAGGGTCACCATAATTTGGAAGTGATTTGACAACCCTTAACACACAACACACACACACTCCCAGATCCTAGTCCAGCCCCTCTACCCACAATGGCTCTCAGTGTGATAAGGAAATCGCAGGGGAAACTTCCACATGGCTGCTCCATCATCACAGCGAATGCCTTTGCCTTTGCAGCAGCGATGAGAGCTACATGGGAAATCATCTCTGTGCAGGAAGAGCTTTATTCAGAAGGTGAATTAACTTGGATAACAATATTTCAAATGGATAATGTAACATGACATACATGAGCCTGCAGTAACGACGATTAGGTCAGAGAACAACGATTTAAGAGGCTGCAGGAACAATGATTACATCAGAGAACAAATGATTTACAAATGCTCTTGCCAGGGGCCATTTCATAGAAAAAGAGGTGCAGGAGCTCATTAGCAAAACTCATTCGCATAACTTATTTATTTATGTATTTATTTATTTGACTTTTATCCCGCCCTCCCCGCCACAGCAAGCTCAGGGCGGCTCACATCATTATTACAGGTAAAACAATATCTCAAGTAAAATTACAATAAATTAAGTTTAAAACAATACATAGAGTACTAGCAATAACATATACCATGGCGGGAGTCCACAGTTAGCGCATGGTCTGGGTCGTATCAGCAAGGCACAGGCTATTCAGTGATGGTAATGATGTTATGATGTTATTAATATTGATGGTTTTGGTGGTGTTGGGGCCAGAGCCTCAGATGGTTGCGGGCGGCTCCTTACATGAATGCCTGGTGGAAGAGCTCCATTTTACAGGTCCTGCGTAACTGTAAAAGGCCCCACAGGGCCCTGATGTCTTCTGGGAGCTCATTCCACCAGTATGGAGCTGCCACCGAGAAAGCCCTGGCCCGTTACTGCAAGCCTGGCTTCCCTGGGGCATTTGCATATGCCACACCCCCTGACACCACCGGAAGTGTGTCTGTAATGTATCCAGTCCAGACCGCGTGGCCGGCTTGGGCTCCATGCGGTCAGGCACAAATGTCGAGCTTCGCTCCAAGAGACATTGCGGATCCTAGCCCGCTCCAATCAGGGGGCTAGGTTCCCGGCCGAGAGCCTATGGGAACTGTAAATAACCTATTGGGAAGTGGGGTGTGTGCGTTTTGGGCAGCGGTTTCTCGGGGAATAAAAGCAAGCCTGCGAGCCGGCCAAAGTCGTCTTGTTCCTGATCGAATAAAGTGCGCTTTGCTGAAATCACTCTCCGTCTGTGTACTTTTCAGTGTCAGAAGGCAACACCCACCGCTCAGGCTCCACTGGACTGTTTTGGATTGCTAGCTATTGTTGGGGGGGGGGGACGTGCAGATCTGTCCTCGCAGAAGAGGGAGAGCTTGTACCTGAATAAAACTTGGCCTTAAAGGTGCCACTGGACTGTTTTGGACCAGGGGGCCGGGGGGAGCTCTGCAACTTACCTGGCTGCTTCTTGCTCTGACTGAGGGCTGCTGGGAGCAGGGGGTGGGGCTTGTTGCATGTGCCCGCCCCTGGGCTCTTTACTGCCGGAGCTCCGCTCCTGTGCGCTCCTGCAGGAAATGACCAGCTAATGGCCGTAGAACCACATACTTGCCAGACTGTCTCTCCTGGGATGATCCCTGGACTCATCACAACACCAACCGGGGGGTGGTTTCAGCTTGTGCTCAGATTCAGGGGCAGCCTGTGGAAGGAGATTTCTAGCTTTAGTATACATGAAAAGGCATTTGGGAAATTTGGCTGCTGTTGTGCTGATTGTTTTAATATATTGCTGGTTTTAATGTTTTGCAGTATTTAATGTTTTGTGCGTATCTAGAAACCGCTTTGAGGATTCAACAGTAAAGCGCTATCAAAATATTGTAAATACAACAAATTAGCATCTTACCGAGGTGCTAATGCATGATTGGCATTGACCAAATTTTCTTTAAACTAAACCACATTCCAGAAGTTGGTCAATGGTGCAACCTCATTTGGAATATTGTGTGCAATTCTGGTCACCACACCTTAAAAAGGATATTATAGCTTTGGAAAAAGTGCAGAAAAGGGCAACTCGAATGATAAAAGGGTTGGAACACTTTCCCTATGAGGAAAGGTTAAGGCGCTTAGGGCTCTTTAGCTTGGAGAAACGACGACTGAGGGGTTACATGATTTAGGTTTATAAGATTATGCATGGGAAAGAGCAGGTAGAGAAAGAGGTACTTTTCTTCCTTTCTCACAATACAAGAACTCGTGGGCACTCCATGAAATTGCTGAGCGGTCGGGTTAGAACGGATAAAAGGAAGTACTTCTTCACTCAAAGAGTGATTAACACTTGGAATTCACTGCCACAGGAAGTGGCGGCGGCTACAAGCATGGACGGCTTCAAAAGGGAATTAGATAGGCATATGGAGCAGAGGTCCATCGGTGGCTATTAGCCACAAGGTATAGATAGGGACTCTGGAGCAAGTGATGCTCTGTCATCTTGGTGCTTGGGGGGGGGGTCAACAGTGGGAGGACTTCTAATGTCCTGGCCCCACTGGTGGACCTCCTGATGGCACTGGTATTTCTGGCCACTGTGTGATACAGAGTGTTGGACTGGATGGGCCTTTGGCCTGATCCAACATTGGCATCTCTTATGTTCTTAAGTTAAGAGAAGCGCCTCACCCAACAGTCCTGCCAGTAGCAACTCTGTAAGATCAGTGGTTTCTCAGATAATGTCCCCGTTTCTCAACTAGCAGTGGCATCACCTCTAGACGGAAGGGAGACTGACTTTCACAAGAGCAGGAATAACCTCTCATCAAAGGACAGCAAGATCTGGTCTATCTGATGGAACTCCTGATTTAAATAAACTCTGATTAGAACAGACAATAGCCCTTGTTTGTTTGACAGACTTCTCCAGCATCCTGTCAGCCTTTCAACAAGCATAACTATCAACAAAGCTAATCAGAATAGAGACATCTGGCTTTGGGTGAAACGAAAGCTACAGACTTTTAATACCAAATATCTATCTACACAGTTTAATCCAAAGCATTGGGTAATGTACATGGTTCTCCCTCCATGTTATCTTCACCCAGTCCTGGTAGATAGATAGGTTCTATGCTTTGGGCATGGAGCAGGGGTCACTGGGGATGTGTGGAGGGGAGGTATTTGTGAATTTCCTGCATTGTGCAGGGAGTTGGACTAGATGACCCTGGTGATCCCTTCCAACTCTATGATTCTAAAGAGTGCATGCATGAGAAAGAACTAATAGATGTGTACTTCATTTTGTATGTGATGCCCACTCTTTTGCAAATAACTTTTATGAACCATATATTAGGGTTGCCAACTCTGGGCTGGGAGATTCCTGGGTGTGGAGACCACAGGGGGTGGGGTTTGGGGAGAGGAAGGACCTAAATGGAGTATAATGCCATATAATCCACCCACCAAAGGAGCCATTTTCCCCAGGGGAAGGAATTTCTGTTACCTTCAGTATCAGTTGTAATTCTCCAGGCCCCACTTGGAGTTTGGCAACTACCCATATACCCAGTAAACCATGTCAGTAAGCTTCATGCAGCAGCATCGATGGCAAACTTATGCACACAGGAGTAACATCTTAACTGTTATTTTTTGTTGCCTCAACTTAATGTTTTCTAAACCTAACCCAGCAATGGAGCCTGAAGATCTGTCAGCAGCAACTCTGTGGTGGAATGAGCTCCTGGAAGACGTCAGGGCCCTGCAGGACCTTTTACAGGGCCTGCAAGACGGAGCTCTTCCACCAGGCTTTTAGTTAAGGAGCCACACCCAACACACTAAGGCCCTGTGCCCAATACCACCACCCTGAGCCTCGCAGATTCTGACATCAAATACCGACTACATTTACTAGAATGTTGATGCTACTCTGCTTTCGCCATCGCCATTTAAATTGTTTACTAGCCCCTTATGTTGAATTTGGTGTAGTGGTGAAGTGCGCGGACTCTAATCTGGGAGAACCGGGTTTGATTCCCCACTCCTCCACTTGCACCTGCTGATGTGACCTTGGGTCAGTCACAAGCTCTGGCACAGCTGTCCTTGAAAAAAAGCAGTTTGTGTCAGAGCTCTCTCAGCCCCACCCACCTCACAGGGTGTCTGTTGTGGGGAGGGGAAGGGAAAGGAGTTTGTAAGCCGCTCTGAGACTCCAAGTGAAGGGCGGGGTATAAATCCAGTCTCCTCCTCCTCCTCCTCCTCTCCTCTTTTTAAGCTTTTACCTATATTGTTTTAGCTACAGCATTTTATGTAAGCTGCCCTGAGCCTGCTTCGTTGGGGAGGGCGGGGTATAAATAAAATAAAATAACACCGGCGTGGGTTTGGTAAAACAATGGAGCAAGTGCTAGAATAAATGCAGATTAAGCCAAAGAGACAGAAGGGCCAGAGAGAACCAGTGTTCCCTCTAAGCTGAGTTAGTGTGAGCTAGCTGAAATTTTTTTAGCCTCCAGCTCACAGATTTTTGTCTTGACTCAGGAAGGTTGGCCCCAGAGCTAACTAATTTATGCAGTAGCCAAATCGCTCGCTCACAACTTTAATGCCAGTGTGTTACAAAGTAGAACTTTTCCTTACAAGACTCCACAGCTTAGAGGGAGCGTTGACAGAGACGCTTACCCAGATGCTTTTAAAAAAAGGCTGCGAGCGCCACCTACTTGCTGGGCTTTGACCTCTATGGGAGCACTTGCATAATAGGGAAGGGCAGAGGGTTCCATTTCCCCGCCGGCGCCTTGCGATGATGTCACGCCGACCCGACCTAAGAAACGAAATTCTGGCGCAATCTCGCTTCTGTCGCGGCTTGATGAGGATACAAAGGAGACTCGGGCTGAACCACCGCCTCCTATATGGTGGCTGAACCCACCAACCTCGCAGCACCTTTGAAGAGCCCTGCAGAGTTCCGAGCGCGAAAAGGCGGCGCTTGACGATGACGTCAACGCAGGTAAATAACGCGCTCGGAGTGGGGAGTCTGTTTGGGGATTTTCTTACCTCTGATTGGCTATGGGTATTTGGAAGTGAGAGTGATGCTGTAGAACAGCCCCCCCCCCCCCGAGACAGCCCGGACGCCTGGGTTCCTTGGAAGAAGGGAGAGGGGTGTCAGTCCCTGGACTGGGCTTGAGCATCTCTTGCAGACGGTTTAGCAGATCATCAGTACTGGTGAGCTGAATGCTCTTGGCGCGTCGGTAATATTAAAGGAGAAGCAAATATATTGCATTGCGTTGCATTCCCGCCTTTTTTCCCCTTTCCATCCCGGCGCTCAGCTCAAGACAAGTTGACATAGGCAGGGTTCCCACGGGGATCTCCCACCCAGACACGGACTGAACCGATGCACCTGCTTAACTAACAGCAAGGGGACTCCTCTCGCACCATTAGACCCGATTAGGGCTGCCAGCTTCGGGTTGGGAAACACCCGGAAATGTTGAGGGTGTAGCCTGAGGATAGTGGGGTTTGGAGAGAGGAGGAGCTTCAATGGGGTATAATACCATAGAGTCCACCTTCCAAAGTGGCCATTTTCTCCAGGGGAACTGATCTCTGTCGCCTGGAGAATCAACTGTAATAGCGGGAGATCTCCAGCCGCCACCTGGAGACTGGCAACCTCAGACCAGACCCATTGAGCAGAGCGGTAGCGATGATAAGCGATAGGATGGGACAGAGAGGTTGCCAGATGAATAAATTCACTTAGGGTTTGCTGTGTCTCTGCCAGGTGTCCACCTTTTCCAGTCTTTTGCAAGTCTTTCATGTAGCTCCATGCTCATTTCCCTTTTTAAAGAAAAATGCTTGCAATAGGTTCTGCTTTTATGCCTGTCCTGATCTCCTTCTTGAGTATAACTGGGAGTGGCCTGGGAGATTAAATAGAGGAGGAAAGCCTCTTTCAGTGTTTAAACCTGGTTTGGTGTTTGCAAGTCTGCTTGCCATCATGTACTGTAATAAATAGTATTTATCCCAGATGAAGAGAGTAATTTCAAACTGTGTTGGGAATGGATATATTTAAATATTTATTTTGAGACATCTTTTCAGGGGTTTCTCCTTACCCCTTTATTATTATTATTATTATTATTATCATCTTCCAGTCAGCCCCATTTGGGGTACCACTGTCCAGCAGATCGTTCCAATCCCATGTTGTTCATGCTGCACAATGTATGGCTGAGCTTCCCAGGGCGATCCCAAATCCCGATGGTATTGCCACCGTTGGTGGTGGTGGCAGCGGCGGCCCCTATCTGAAAGCCTGGCGGAAGAGCTCCGTCTTGCAGGCCCTGCGGAACTGCATAAGGTCCCACAGGGCCCTGATCTCCTCCAGGAACTCGTTCCACCAGGTAGGGGCCGCCACTGAGAAGGATCTGGCCCTGGTCGCAGCAAGCTTTGCCTCCCGGGGGCCTGGAATCACCAGGTGGTGTTGTGTCCCCGACCGAAGTGCTCTTGGAGGTATATGTTGGGAAAGGCGGTCCCTTAGGTCATATAGGGCTTTAAAGGTGAGTACCAGCACTTTGACGCAGATTTGGTATGCTATTGGCAGCCAGTGCAGCATTTTCAACCCAGGTCGGATGTGCTCCCACTTGGGGAGGCCCATCAACAGCCTGGCCGCCGCATTCTGCACTAGCTGCAGCTTCCGGATCTGCGACAAAGGCAGCCCCATGTAGAGAGCATTACAGTAGTCTAGCCTTGAGGTGACCATCACATGGATTATTATTTCAATTTCTGAATCGCCCCATCACAGGGCTCTGGGCGGTTTACAACAGGTTAAAAACATACAAATATAATTTAAAATCAACAAATCCATTAATCCTAATTGATGTGCTTCCTTCTTTCCCATTTTCCCCAGTATATCCTCGATATTAAAATGTTTGTGTGGGTCCCTGGAAAACTAATGCTACTTAGCATTTTAATAAGCTGTTCTGAGTGCTAAAAAAGCCGGATGTATTATCTCTCTGTTCCGTACAACAGCCCTCTAAGATAGACCAGTAGACCAGTAATGCTATGTTGCAGTTAAATTATTGGACTAGAATTTGAGGGACCCAGGTTTGAATTCCCTTTCAGTCATGGAAGCTCATTGGGTGACCTTGGGCCCAGTCACACACTCTCAGGCTAACCTACCTCACAACCCTGTGAGGATAAAATGGAGGGGAGGAGACTGATGTAAGCTGCTTTAGGTCCCCACTGGGGAGGAAGGGGTGTGTGTAAATGAAGCTAAATGAAGAGTCAATTTGGTGTAGTGGTTAAGAGTGCAGATTCTAATCTGGGAGAACCAGGTTTGATTCCCCACTCCTCTACATGCAGCTGCTGGTGTCACCTTGGGTCATAGCAGCCCTAGACTCCTATGTAAACCGCCCAGAGACCCTTCGGGGTCAGTGCGGTATATAAGCCGAATGTATGAATAAATAAATTCATAAATTCTTTCAGAGCTGTTCTCTCAAGGGCAGTTCTCTCAGAGCTCTCTCAGCCCCACCTACCTCACAGGGTGTCTGTTGTGGGGAGGGGAAGGGAAAGGAGATTGGATTTATACTCCGCCCTTCACTCAGAGTCTCAGAGCAGTTTACAGTATCCTTCCCTTCCTTTCCCCACAACACACACCCTGTGAGGTAGGTGGGGCTGAGGGAGCTCTGAGAGACCTGTGGCCCAAGGTCACACCAGCAGCTGCATGTGGAGGAGTGGGGAATCAAACCCAGTTCTCTCAGATTAGAGTTTGCTGTTCTTAACCACTACACCAAGCAGGTACCATGGTGCCCACAGTTACCCCTTCCGCAGAGTGACTGTAACAAATTCTGAGGTAGATTTAAGTGTCTGTTTTGATTGAAAGAACCAAGGAAAATAGGTGCATGGTTGGCTGTGCCCCACTACAGTATTGTGTGTATCTTATCTGGTAACGCGTTTTCTGGTAGCAGATTAGTTTTGGGGTTCCGAGGTTCATAGTACCTTTCCCTTGTTGATCACAGGCACCCATGAAGCCCAGCGTCTGCTCCACAAAGCGAGACCGAGGGGACGACGAGGACACCCCGGAAGACAAAGCTGTCAAGAGCCAGAGGAGCAATGCTAAGCCCCCCCTTACTCTGCCCGTCACCCCGTCTCGATATGACGCCCCTTTCCCCTTTTACCGGCGGCCAGCTGAAGTGGGGCGCTTTTCCTTGGACTCCCAGCGCTGTTACCATGGCGATGCTAGCCAGCTGCACTACTACGCCCCGCCCCCCACAGAAGGCCCCTCCCCCGGGTTCGACCTGCGTGAAGGATACCGCGACCGCTACGTGCAGCGAGACGAGAGTGTCCACGAGGGACTGGAGCACTTGCTGCAGTGGGTCTCTCAGAACCGGAAGCAGCTGCAGGGCGCAGAGGAGAAAGGGTGAGGAAGGCCAGATGGAGTTGGCCAAGAGAGAGAGGGAAAGGAAAGCTTGCCCCGTAAGAACCGAAACCCCCAAACCAGTGAAAATCCCCAGAGACAGCAGTGAATCGAAGCCCCTAAACGAGATACAGAATTATTCGCCACGTGCAAGGATTGTGAACAAGAAAGCATAGTACAAAAATGTCCCTGTGAAAAATTCCAGTTAGTTTGATTTCTGCCAAATGAAAATGGGTCATTCCTGGGTTTTGGGGACACATAGACTCTGTTTGTTCCCTGCCAGCGCCAAGGCTGTGGCTCTTGCCCTCAGACCCCTGCCTTCTTTGGTGCTGTGATTCCGGCCTCCTCGGATCTTTTAATGCTGCGAGTTGGAGAGTGACAGTCTGCCGCAGAACCTGCATGCCGAGGACGGACTCGGCTGCCGGCCTTGCGGCCCCCTCCTTTCCCCCCCCCCGCTCTTGTTTTGCTTTAACCACCTGTCTCTCCCACACTCTGCAGACAGCTGCTGAACACGGACTTTGTGACGTGGCGGGGGCATCTCACAAAAGTGCTCACCACCCCCTATGAGAAGCAGGACGGGTGGCTGCTGGCGGTCAGCCTCTTCCGGGGGACCCTCTACGTCAGCGAGGTCGAGACCGAGTCTGCCCGGAGGCAGAGGGAGCAGCGCTCGGAAATGCTGAAGGAGCTCATGTACATGGGCTACAAGTTCGAGCATTATATGTGTGCAGGTGAGCCTCCCCAGAAAAAAACAACAACCCTGGGCCTGAGGCGTCCAGTGACATCCGCTTCCAGGTTTTGCAGACAGAGAGTATTCAGGGGGGCCCCTTATGTCCACCACTAGCCCCCCTTCTTGCCTATCCGCCTGTGTGCCCCCACTGGCCGGTGTGTCCTTCCTCTGCCCACTGGCAAGGTCTCCCGCCCTCTGCAGTAACAGCTGCCTGGATGGCCTGCGCGCCCCTTTCCCCGATGGTACTGGATGGTCAGTGCAGCTAGGAGTGCCGCTGCCATGGCCACCAGGAACGCTGATGCTTTCTGCACTGCCCCACATGTCCTTCTCCAGCAGTGGTGGTGGAAAGTGTCATCAAGTCACAGCTGACTTATGGCCACCTTGTTGGGTTTTCAAGGCAAGAGAGGTTCAGAGGTGGTTTGCCGTTGCCTGCCTCTGTGTCATGACCCTGATATTCCTTGGAAGTCATCCTTCCAAATACTAGCCAGGGCTGACCCTGCTTAGCTTCCAAGATCTGACAAGATCAGGCTATCCTGGGGCATACAGGTCATGGCTTTCTAGCGGTACTTAGCAGCATATGCAGCTGGGAGCAAAGGTGACAAAGGACTCCCGAGCACGCAGCGGAAGGGGGTGAGGACAGTCAGTTAGAAGAGATGTGTGAGGAGGACGTCAACAGCAGGTGGGCTCCACAAGAGGTCCTGGGCCCAGGCAACCACTCCACCTCAAGGTAGGCTGATGCCGGCCCTGCCTCCAGTTCTGGCTCAGGCACACTCTCGGGAGTTTTGATTCAGAATTCAGAATCTCCTGCTGGTCCCTATCTCTGGAAACCTCCTGTCAGAGGACCCAGGGACCACCCTGGCTTCTCACCCAGAAATGGAAACAGCCATTTCTAAACCTAAACCGTCGCCTGTGGCGAATTAAGATTGCCTGGAAGCGACCAGGAAGAAAAGCTGTTTGAGGTTGTTGATGTCCCACACAGAGGTATGTGCTCGGTATATACCAAGCCGAATAAACACCCGAAAAAATATCTTATCAGCCACTGATCCAGCTGAGCCCGAATGAAAGCTGATATTGTTTGGCTTTTATTCAGGCTCAGCCGAAGTGGCATGAGTTCACCCACCTTCTGGGTGGACTCGCACCACTTCCAGGCTCCTCACAGGCAGCTTGGCTTTGCAAAAGCCATTTAAAGGAAAATTGCACTTTAAATGGTTTTTGTAAAGCCAAGCCACATGCGTACCTTGCCTTCCCTTCCCTCTCTGAGTCACGACGTGGTAGGTACCGCAGTCTCTTTAAATGTGTTCCCTTCAGTCGCTGAGGCATACTGTTGCGGCATGACTTGGGGAGGGAAAGGAAGGTATGGAGCCGAAAAAATACGGCAATACCAATTATTTCATGAATCCCAATATCATACCAATATTCCGGAATATCGGTATATACCAATAACTTTTGGGTTTGGTATACCTGAACCTGAAAAATACCATTTTTAAGTGTGTGTGCATACCCCTAGTCCCACATGTGACTACTGAGCAGGTTAGTAAAACAAAAAAAATTCTTGTGGACCAGTTTTCCAGGCTGTCTTAGGATCTGAAGCTTCCCTTTGTTCATGTACAAACACCTGTTCAGTGCCTTTAGAACTGAGGCCATCACCGATTTACATAGGGATTTACATAGTGTGACTTATAGCTGACCAGTCTGTTCAAGTACTTAATTTAAATCTGGATATGAATAAAAGCAATAGTTTGAAGCAAAATCTATTTCCCCCAAAATGCATATGTGTGCCATAGAAGGCATCCCTTTGGAAGAGGCATCCCCCCGATATGGAAGAGTAGAAGGAACACCTCTTTTGCGACAATGGTAGTTTTGTAATTGCTTGTATTTAAAATAACGTTTAACAGTTCCGCTGTGTGATTAGTTGAGGCCATCTACCGAAAGGTTTTGGCTCAGTTAATCTAACCAATTATGCATTTGTTAGAATCCAGACTTCTGGCTCCCAGACTCTTCGATATTTAATTCCCTTCCCTTTCTGTTAGTTTGGAAACCATCTCTTTTAATGCATTCAGTCCAATGATCCTTTGCAGAACCTCCCCTATTAGTGAAGCGCAGTGGTAGCGCCCACTATCGCATGGGAGCCGCCGCCTCTCTCGGAAGCAGCTGCCGCTGTCTCGTCAGTCCAGTCGCCTCTCTTGCCTCCTTCTGTCCCGCGTCCCCTGATTCGGTGTATGAGTGATTTATAACCGGTAACCCCGTCATGTCCACACCGGCCCGGAGGCGCCTCATGCGGGACTTCAAAAGACTGCAGGAGGATACCCCGGCTGGAGTAAGCAGAGCCCCTTCCGAGAACAACATCATGGTTTGGAACGCGGTCATCTTCGGGCCTGAGGGAATCCTTTTTCAAGATGGAACTTTCAAGCTTACAATAGTTTATGGAAGAATATCCAAATAAGCCACCTACTGTTAGATTTGTGTCTAAAATGTTTCATCCAAATGTCTATGCAGATGGTAGTATATGTCTGGATATTCTTCAGAATCGTTGGGAGTCCTACCTATGATGATGATCCTTTGCAGAA